GTGACAGGGTACAGAGCCCCAACCCCCCTGATGGGCCCCGCTCTGTGAGTGACAGGGGACGGTGCCCCATCCCCCCAATCGGCCCTATCCGGAGCGTGACTGAGGGTGGCATCACAACCTCCCAAGCTGCCCTGCTCTGTGCATGACAGGGGGCGGCGCCCCAACTCCCCAATGGGCCCTGCTCTGAGCCCAACCAGGGGCTGCACACAGGGATTGGGCCTGCCCTCTGCCACCTGGGAGCGTGCCTAAGCCAGCAGTTGGTTATCTCCTGAGGGGTCCCAGACTGCGAGAGGGCACAGGCCAGGCTGAGGGCCCTTCTTCCCCCCCCGAGTGCACAAATTTTTGTGCACTGGGCCTCTAGTATAAAAGAAATATCAAAAGTATGTCTTTGTTTTACTATGGTTGCAAATATCAAAGATTTCTCTATGTGACACGGCACCAGAGTTAAGTTATGGTTTTTCAAAATGCTGACACGCCGAACTCAAAAGGTTCGCCATCAACTGTATTAGAACAATATTCCTCCAGATAAATTCCTAATTCATTCCTTCTTTCAGTATTTGCCCAGTTGCCTGGCCTGACCCCTTTAAAAATGCAACCTTCCTCACCACTCCCAAATTTCCTTATGATCTATTTTTTCTCCGTAGCACTTATTTTCTTACATTATTTAATTAGCTTATTTATTATGCACACTTACTGTGTGTGTCTCCCACTAGAATGTAGGCTGGTAGCGGGCGGGTTTGAGCTTTTTGTTTGATTGTTTTGGGGGGGTGGTTTGGTCTCTCTCTCTTTTTTTAAATGTAGCTCCATTGCCTAGAGCAGAGCCTGACACTGAGAATTTAGTAAATATTTATTGAATTAAATAATAGGAACCTGAAGCTCAACAGTAAATTGTCTAAGGTAGGTGCCACAGCTTGGATAATGCCTTTTTCTTCACCTTCGTTGTCTCCCTTCCTCATGTGTACATGGCTGTGTAATGTTATATGCTAGATTATAACCCAGGTTTTCTGAATCTTCACAGGGTTAACACAAGACTGAAGCTTAGAACTTAGGCAGTTTTTTATATATTCTTATTTAACTTTATGTTATTGCAGACCAGTTTGGTGGCACTTGCAAATAGTTATAATGTATATATACTTTGATCCAACACTTATTTCTAAGAATCTGATATATAGAAACATATTTCACTAGTGCATAAATTTGCTCACTGACTTGGAGGTTCATTGCACTATAACCTAAAAGAGCAAAATAAAATGCAGACAACCTAAATACTTAAATAAATTATGGCACATCCTTAATATAGGATACACTGCGAGTATTAGAAAAAAGAATGGGAGGAATCTGAATATACTGACCTGGAAGAATATTTATTATATATTGTGAAATAATAACAAATGTAGGATGTATATAGTACAATTCCATTATTTTTTTAGAAAGATTGGATAGCATAGGAAATATAGTCAATGATATTATAATAATTATGTGCCAGGTGGGTACTGGAAATATTGGGGAATCACATTGTAAAGTATATGATTATCTAACCACTATGCTATACACCTGAAATTAATACAAAAAATATTGAATGTAAACTGTAATTGAAAAATAAAAATTAGAAAAAACCATACATATTGATTGTTTACAAGAATTCTCAAATTTTTAAGCTTTAGCTTTTTGTATTTGGTTGAGATTAAGTTGATAATATCAATAATGATTTTTAAATTAAAAAGTCAATAAAATTTGAAAGTAAACAAAAATAAAGGGTCCCTTCAACTATACCCTCCACTGCTTCCATCTGATATCACATTTATAGACAAAACGGAAAGTTTATCATTAGCAAAGAACATTTGGACTCTGAGGAAATATTCATTGTTTACAGATTCACTCTAGTTCATTTACCTCATTAAATTAAATCTGTTAAAATTATTCATTAATTCATAATTTTCTTTCAGGTTCGATCTGGGGCTAATGTTCTAATTTGTGGTCCAAATGGCTGTGGGAAGAGTTCACTTTTCCGTGTTCTTGGTGAAGTAAGTACAAATTGGCCTCAAAATTTTGCAGTTTTATTTTGCCATATGATCTACCACTTTGTGAAATTTACTATTGCTCATCCCACTTCTTTCCTGTTATAGTTATGGCCTCTTTTTGGAGGACGTCTAACTAAACCTGAGAGAGGAAAGTTATTTTATGTTCCTCAGGTAAGACCTTGAGTTATTTTGTAATCTTTAATTTAAAGATACTTTTACTTATTGCTTAAAAATTCACTTCTAATGAATTTTGGTCTGTTATCAGAGACCTTATATGACCCTTGGAACCCTTCGAGACCAAGTGATATATCCAGATGGAAGAGAAGATCAAAAAAGGAAGGGGATATCTGACCTAGTACGTAATGGTTTATATCTCAGACCTGCTGAAAATACTGTGTTTAAGGTTCTTTTTCTTAACCAGTTATGTACATTAATTTTTTAAAATTATTTTTTATTTTTTAAAATTTTTTTATTGATTAAGTTATTACATATGTGTCCTTATCCCCATGTTACCCCATATCCCCCCTGCTCATGCCCTCACCCCCCCTGTTGTCCATGTCCATTGGTGAGGCCTAAATGCTTGCATATAAGTCCTTTGTTTGATCTCTTCCCTCTACCCCCACCCTCCCCTTCCTTCCCTCTGAGGCCTGACGGTCTGATCGATGCATCTCCATCTCTGGATCTGTCCTTGTTCATCAGGTTATGTTGTTCATTATATTCCACAAATGAGTGAGATCATGTGGTATTTATCTTTCTCTGACTGGCTTATTTCACTTAGCATAATGCTCTCCAGTTCCATCCGTGCTGTTGCAAATGGTAAGAACTCCTTTTTTACTGCAGCGTAGTATTCCATTGTATAGATGTACCACAGTTTTTTAATCCACTCATCTGCTGATGGGCACTTAGGCTGTTTCCAAATCTTAGTTATGGTGAATTGTGCTGCTATGAACATAGGGGTGCATATATCTTTTCTACTTGGTGTTCCTAATTTCTTGGGATATATTCCTAGAAGTGGGAATACTGGGTCAAATGGGAGTTCCATTTTTAGTTTTTTGAGGAAACTCCATACTGTTTTCCACAGTGGCTGCACCAGTCTGCATTCCCACCAGCAGTGCATGAGGGTTCCTTTTTCTCCACATCCCCGACAGCACTTGTCGTTTATTGATTTGTTGATGATAGCCATTCTGACAGGTGTGAGATGGGATCTCATTGTTGTTTTGATTTGCATCTCTTGGATGATTAGTGACTTTGAGCATGTTTTGACATGTTTCTTGGCCTTCTGTATGTGCTCTTTTGAAAAGTGTATATTTAGGTAC